TGTGTAGGTTTTATAGAAGTTTCTTCTCTAACTGCATTCCTGATCCAGAGGTATTCCAATGATGGCATCAACGGAAAATGACGACATGCAGCGATTGGTGAGGCATCTTCCAGCCACAGTGATTTCAACTACAGTAAAGCAAACATTTCAGTATGAAGAATCATCCACAGAACTTTGACCCAGACAAAATTTGTACACTTTTATAACAGTGATAAACCTTTCAAAGCAAGAATTAAAAAACATTCCTCAGCTCAAAGAGGCTTTGAAGGCAATTCCTGACCCATTTCGTGTTTTACACTCACAACTTCTGTGCATGGTATGCGTACGGTCATTAAAAACGCCATCTCAAAAAGAAGCTTCAATAGAATCATTCAATAGTTGAATATCTCAAAAAGTTCTCGAACACCAACATCAAATCAGTCGAAGGATGAAAGTCAACGTCACTTGTACACATGCTTCAGAAGAAAGAGTAGTTTTCTTTCTTGAATCATCGGGGCAATGTAACATGCTTGAGAAAGCCATTTTAAAGACGTAGATATTTTAGGAAAAAAGGGAATACAGTTGGTCTCAACATTCGCCGAAACATTGAGTTACTTCTTCTGCAGAAATGAGAGGCCAAAGAAGGGACATTTATGGAGAAGACAAATTTCATCCGCTTTTCCCCAATTGATTCGATTATCGCAAATAGTCTGATCCTGTAATACGTACAAAAGGTGCTCTTATCTTAATTCAGAAAGAAAGAAACAAACCTGCAGCACTTTCTTACTTTTTCCTATTTTCATTTTTTTATACTATTTATATGTATGCTGCTACCTTAATTCCACAAGCAGCAGTTGCATTTTTTTCTGTTGCTCATCTACTACATAGTCGATTACCATTAAAAATGCAACCTTAAAATGTTCATTTGATGTTGCCTTTAAGATTAGTGTTGAAGAAAATGCAAAAGAATCATTGTACCTGTTGCACTTACAATAAAATCAGTCCGCTCAAAAAAAATTTCACAATGCTGTAATGGCTAATATCTAGTAAGTGCCTGACTCCAATAAACGCCGGGCGGACAGGGAAAATTTTTTTAATAAACGCCTCGGGCTACAATCATATAACATTTAAGGTACTGCAAAAAGAAAGAAAATTCTAAACGGTGAAAAGTTTCGATCAAAATCCACGTTACAACGACTTCAGAACGGCAGAGATTATCCATTAGAGTTAAAAGGAAATTGTTCCACAGGCAGGAATTGGCAGGACATGGACATCGTTGCATTCGTCAGAGAAAAATAACGGGTTCATATTCACCTTCGGGAAATAGATGATCTTCTTCTTAGCCGGCGGCATGTTGTTCAAGATCTCTCCACTCATGCTCAGGGTTTCAAGGTTTGCAAATATTCCCATTTTCCGAGCAAGTTTCCAACCTCCCGCATCCAATTTAACGGGCAACTGGTAGGTATGAAGACTCGAAAGCACACCAGAACCCATAAAATCAGGAAACTGCCGCAAGTGCGGATCATGCAGCACAACCAAATTGGACCTTAAACGTTCTGTGTCATGTAGAATAGCATGATTGAGATGCAGTTTCTTCAACCTGTAACCCATGCATTCACTATATAGACACAGCACATAAACCATCAATGATGCTAATACTATACTTGCCTTCTTGCCTTGGAAAAGCCTGTCCCATATTAGCAGGAAACATTTTCTCCAAGGAACACCGCAAACGCACTTCCCGACAATTGGGAAACAAGACGTGCCCAGCTTTGGAAGCTTCCAATAAGAGATCCGCAAGAATAATGCATCCCACGGAGAGCATTTCCAGGTGAATGAGCTTCTTGCCACTCCTCGTGAGAAATTCAAACCATGCCTCTTCGTTGGCCATCAAAGTGCCGACTTGGAGCACCTTTAATTTACTCCAATCATGATGTTGGAAAATCGGTCGTAAAATGTTCCGTGGCCAGAGCGGATCCAGTTCAGAGTGAAAACTGAACCTCAGTGAAAGCTTCCGCACATGCCTAATATCAAGGGGCTAATGAAGCAAACATACCGAATCCATGAATGCGACTCACTTATATACAACGTTGCAGAAGTCTTGGAAGTGCCCAAATGGCGGACATTGCATTCCATCTTGTAGAGAAAACTTCACACGTGTCCAACTGCTTCCATCCTTCATCAAGTGAAAAAACTGCCGACATACTGGAACGAAGTCCAGCATAGTTTCAAATGGTGGCAGAAATTTTGCGATATTCTTGAGAACTAGCCAAGGACATGACAGAAGGAGCGAAGTCTGCGTTTCTCTGACGTGACTGCTGTCACTGAGGAGGAACATGATCCTGAAAGTAGCTGCAAAAAACAATTTATGCATTGCTTCCTTCCTATTAAATTGTGGTGTTCTTGTACAGCAAAGCAGCCTAGTTGACGGACTCAAAAAATATATATGTAGAACACGTGGATCAAGTTTATTTTTATCAACTATGAAGAATGTCCAGTAGAACCAAAATAAAGGTCGATTCTCCCCACCACGAAAATTTACGCGACCAGAAAAAAAATGGTTGTAAAGAGAATTTTTGTGTGGAGAACTCCATCGGGCAAAAATAATCCGTTTTACAGAGAGAATAATTGCAGACAAGATCGTTGTAGATAGGAGTCCACCTCTGTAGAAGTTTGATGCGAGGATTCCTCGACAATTTGCACAGTCCTACTGAACTTGTTGTTTTAAATTTAGGTTCGAATTTACAAAATGGGGCATGCGAAAAAAATACCAAGATGAATTTGTCCATGAAAATATCTCTGGATTTTTTTGTTTTGTTTTTTTGTCCATATGTAGGAACGTGATTCTGTTCATCCTCAACTTTTTTCAATGTTTGTGTTTTCAGGCTAGTCAAGGATGATTCTGATGCATGCATTAATGATCAATCCATGTTCTGCTCAGGAATCAAGCCTCAGTCATATTTGAAAGTTCCAAAAATGAATCTTCGAATTTCCCGCCCAGATATTCATGGAAATATCATGTGCCGCTTGGATTTGGTAAAACACAAACGAGGCATCTCCATTTGATGCGAGACAATCTGTTGCATACGTATGAAAAGTTGATTGGACAATATAAAAGAAGAGAGAATCAGACTGAAACGCATTTAATCAATGAAAATCTGTTGCATTTTTTGTCCATATGCTGAACATCTTACTAACACTCTTTCACTACTTGGCTCATAAATTCGGCTTATGAATTTTATAATTTCATTTCACAATCAATCACTTTAAAGAACCACTCCATTGGAAATCACACTATGCTACTCTTCTCTGCAAACTTAAACTCAGTCAAACTTAAATGCAGCCCTAAATCCAAGAGAAATACCTATACTTTTAAAAATGTCCCATTACACAAATGTACCCCAGAGAGATTTTCTGGAGATGCTTCACTGGTTACATATTTTTACCATAAGGGTTTGATTCATGACTAAAGTCAATCGTACAGCTAGTATACTGAATAATCGTGAGTTTTACTTTTATTGGATGTGTCAACATAAACGTTGTTCACAAAAAAATATTCCTGGGCTCTTCTCGTTCACTCAGTTTGGTCTGGGAGAAGACAGATGCAGCATTCGCGGAATGTTCCGTTTTTGTGGGGAATAAGCTCTTCATGTTTTACAAATTTCCGGACAGATTTTATCCTATCAACCCATCATGTACAATTCAATTATATCTTTGGTGCATTGGTACATTCTGCTTGAATTTGAGATTCAAGAATTACGAGTGAAATGTTCCGACAATCTTAGCAACTTCTCTGGTATTCCTGATGCAAAATGTTACGGCTGTCCCGCATTGAAAATTTACGGCGATCGTTGCACTGGGCGAATAAACAAGCACTTTGAAAACCATAGGTGAATGTTGATCAAATTTCCACTCTGAGTTTCGGAATTACAGTAATTGAACGGAGCTTTTAAGATGTTTCTCGCGAAGTACAATTGAAAACATGTACAAGTATAACTCACGAATTTTGCAGAAAAATCCTCTGATGATGTCGCCATGTCTCAGAACACGCATGCCTTTCTCATCAAGTGGTAAAACGTCATTATTGACGAGTAGGAACAAACCGAAGCGTTGGTTCAGCTTTCCAACCCCGCTTAGTATGAAGTCTCCGGATGGACACTGGAAGATGGAGAAAATACTCTCCAAGCTCGACTGCTTCGGGCACAGTGCGCCAACTTTCATCCCTTTTTCCTCTTTATGAACATCTGAGAAAAACCGTTGAAACGGAGACAGCAAATAGAAAAAGTGCTGTATAAGAGTATCATACACAACTTACGTAGTCGAAACTGCGTCCCCTCAGTAACACACTTGTTTCCGAACCTTTCGAAATAACACGACACTGCCTTTTGACTCGGATTTGTACCGCATCTTGGGCCACGGTGTGTCGCAATATGTCGTTCCAATTCCATGTACGAAAGGTCTTGGAGACCGTAATTCAGTTTCAGGAGAAACGCACGCATTGCGGAAAAAGCGAACGAACAGCTCTGAACGAGTATTGTCAGAAGTTTCGTCAAAGACCGTCACTGTCTCGATTCCTGCAATCAAAAGCGAAATTTAAAAATATAATAAAAAAAACCTCACCGACAAGGATCAGATGAAGAAAATGGATGAGAAGGTAATCCATACAAATGCCCCTTTCACCTTTTACTGATTCGAAACCCTTTGTTGAATGAATCAAGATCGAAAACTTTTGAACTCTTCTTGCATGCCAAATTTAAATAAGTGATATACGACGATTCAAAGAAAAAACCATTACTGCTACGGGTAATCATTTTTGCATGCTTCACGAATTCCCAGGGTATGCACTATGATTGCAGTACAGTATTTCAAAAAATGGAAATAAATAGAGAAACGCGCGCATCGCCGCAAAGTCAAATTCTTCCAACTGTTCCCGGCAAAGAAATGCTCTTCAACACAACAGCAGTTTCCATTCCTGGTCCCTGCCGGTTCCCGGAGGCGGGACTTCGCTTCAGCCGCCAAACCACGCCTTTCATTCCACTGCCCCAGTACCAGCAGGGCTGCAAACATTGTGTCCTCGGGTACATAGTTTCAGTGCTTCTTGAATGGCAGAACAATTGGTTAGGGAATTTCCAAGTGGGCGTGATCTTCGTCTTCCACAAAACACATCGGAGCGAAGTCCGGATAATGAATGGAAACTGATGGCGTCATTTGTCCCGAGATTTCCCAAAAAGTCCATTGAACAACTTCGAATCAAAGCTGAATAAATTTTTCTAAATTTTCAAGAGATAAAAGTTCATTTAAACATTCGGAAGTCCCTTACAGCATAAAATTCATATTAAAAATTAAATAAGGTGGTTTCAACTTCAACAATACTGTATTTGGGAGTCGGAGAGTAATCTGAAATACGCAACACTCAAAAACATTAGAAGCAGTTTCATTGTCCGATCCGTTCAGTTACTGTACTTCCATTCCGTGGATGACTTCCGTGAAGAGTGCGAGGCATTTGAGCTTTTTGAAAGCATATATGAGCAGTCTTCCATTACACACTTGAATTACACCAAACTTAGTGCAGTTTTTGCCTTCTCAAATGCAGAAATTCAAAGTAAAAAGCGCATACTAAAGAATTTATACTCCTCGGAATCATCGCCATACATTCACAGGCGACTCGTCAAAGGACTTAAAGGAATTAAAACCCTAGCACTTTTGGGTTTCAAGGTGCCCTTTTATCGGGAATTTTGTAAACCTCTTTGACATTCAAGTTCAGCATGATACTTTTGGCTCCGCAGAAATATAGGCCCCTTGAGAAAAGGGACCCGGCGACAAGTAGTAGAGGGTTCCGCGGCAACTGAACCTGTGCACGAACTGCTTTCTATGCGTCAATCCTCCTCCTCCCATCCCCTTTGGCATGCAGAACGTCAGCATTGGGCACTGCAGAATTTCATTGCCCCTCTTCCAGAAGGTGACCGTATCTCTGAAGTGCCATACTGTATACTGTATATATGCCATGTCAACCTAATGAAACTAATTCTTATTCAGTAGACATCACGCGATTTTTTTTCCTTTCAACATTTTCTTCAATCTCCACACCCGGAAAAGTGTACTGTAGGAAGCACAGTACAGGGGGAACTTCAAGCAACGTCAAATGCGATGTTTTCAACATCGTATTTGACGTTTTCGCCCATCTTCTTGGGTCAAATTGTGGGTCTAGGTCGAATTGACCTCCCAGCAAATTCGACCATCAAATTGCGGGAGGTCGAATTGCGAGGTACCACCTGTAAACACGATTACGGATGCAGATTTCGGTGTCGACAATGAGCGAACAAGAAAAGAAAGACTACTGGTGCGATTCCCAGAAAAAATGTAATTCCCTGGAAGGATCAGGAAGAAATCAAAATTTTGTAATGGTAAGCGAAGGCCCCAGCTGTGAAAGAGAGGGAAGATAAATTTTTCATCTCTCGAACAATAAATACGGTCTTCCATCAATTCTGTCGTAACTCCGCAATCCCACGGAAGTTATCCAGACAGGACGGATTAACTGTACCCTTATTAACTTAACCCTTATGCGGACAGTTAATCCGTCCTGTCTGCTCGAGTCTTCATCTTTTATTCCTACAGTTTTAATCCTTTCCCAGGCATTCATTCCTTTTTGCCAATTCTGAGAACTGAAGTCGTAAACTGTCGACCTTGCTATTTGAGAGGCGTTTCAAGGATCACATAAACAGAAACTAGGGAAAATTGCGTGTGGAAGGATTAATAATTGTACTTCTCAACCCTTCCAGGAGCCACCCTCATCCATTCTCAAAGTGGGCGTCCATATTTCGGACGAATCCAACTTTCCGTCGTGTCATGACTGACGATTTCCAGCGTTTTCAAGAAAATTTTAAAGAGAATAATCAAGAAAATTTGCAACGCTGCATCAATTTAACATCCTTTCCAGTAACGAACTTCATGCTGTTTGTCATGGAGGTTACACTGAATCCAGAATGCCGCGTGTCTTCGCAAGATTACGAATTATCCTCTGCGGGAGCGCCTTAAATCACTGTTATACACGGTTGCAAAATACAGCATGTTATCCATTTCACTGAAAATAATAGAGAAGCGCAGATGCAAGGTTCAACTCCGATAATCGAACGACAGTATATCTCATCACGAACTCCGCGCCGCACCACACGACCCCGGTTGCCGCGCAGCTGCTTCCGATGGGACGCGTTCGAACAATGCAAGAAGGACTCCATCTTGTGAACTGGCGGAAGTGCGCACAGTGATGACTAACTCAACTTCCAACAATCTAATAGAGCTAGAGTAGTATCGAATTATCCTATAAGAGTACAAGAGTATTACGCACGGCACACCATTATTTTTCCAGTGGTTAACATGAGTTTTTTTCTTTTCCGGGTTGTATGATGTGTTTTCGGCGTGAACGAAGTGCTGTTGGGTGCCCATATTGCGCCTGCGTTGTTCGCCAACTCGTATAATTTTACGTCGGACAACTGGGGATGAGGCAATAAAGGGGGAAAGCTAAACGGAATCCGGGGGAAAACGCATCTGGGACTCATTTCCATCTGACTCAGTGTTTTCCTGTAAATGGTGCAGTATACAGTACTAGGGTGAGTTAAATCACTTGAACCGTCTCTTTATCGCAGGCGACAGTACTTTTCCTGTGAAGCCTCTTGTTCGGCGCTTATATAGCTGATGACCTTGGTTGTTTCCTCCACTCTGGGCCGGTGTGGGCGGTACAGTGTACTCCCCCGAAATCGTACTCCTGGAGTACGATTTTCACAGGAGGCGTTGTTATGGACCAGCATGATGGGAAAAAATGTTTGCAAAGTTTATTATGAAGTGCAAATAAAGCATGGTACAGGTAAATCTCAATAAGTTGAACATTCCTCAGTCAAATTTTTTCAAATCCCTGTCTGAATCCCCTTAGAATCAATGCATTGAAAACCTCCCTAACTCAAAGTATTTTTCTCTAAAACCCCTGCAAGTTTCATTTTCTGATGAAGACTTTTGGTTATTATTGCTGTATTTCCTTGAAATGTGAAAGAGTAAATCATTAATACAAATGCTATAATGCATCTTGTAAGGGAGTAAAGGACTATTGAAGCATATGAACCCCTGCCTCCAAGTTCAGGAAGGTGTCAACTCATTGAGGAGTGAGTTTAGGCCCGGAATATCCTCATTTACAATTTCACACACTCCTTTTTTACTTCTCCTCACAACAGAAGTGTTTGTTTTCTCAACTGGAAATCTCCAGAAATCAAAACGTCCCTATGAGTCAAAAATTCTTCAGGTCAACTTTTTTTCCTGGCCCCTTAGGAATTTGACTTACAGAGATTCAACTGTAAAACAATATTCCTGTTATCTTTTCTAGTTCCATTCATTATCACTTTTTTTTTTACCATACTTTAACTCCTCATAATAAACTTTGGCTGCATTGTGTGTCATCATGGTCTGTACAAGGCTTTGGAGCTATCCCACTTGAGGGGAGCCAGACTACAATCTCCATCTTCAAGCAACAGTGGGTACTGTTTTGCACGCACATTGCTGGCAACATCCATGCGTCATTCTGAAGAAAGAGTCCAGGTACACTCCAATTATCCAACAGCACTCTTGTGATGCCAATGAGGTACACTATCCTCAGTCTTGTCACCAGTCCAATTTTATTCTCCATGCAGGTACTGTACACATCCAACTGTGTACCATATTCAAATTGAAATGTGAATTGACACTTGCACTGTTATTTATTGTGATTGTGTTGAAACTGACTTTGGGGGGTGGTTAGGTGAAGTTGAGTTAGGTCAAGTTATGTTGGTTAGAAATATTCAAACTATATATTTTGATATATATGTTCATTGAACATTTTTTTAACTAACCTGACCTGAGTTTTCTGCTAAAACTGACTTCGGAGGGTGGTTAGGTAAAGGTAGGTTATGTTAGTTAAAATATTTTTAATGATCATGCAGATGTCAAAATAAATAGTCAAAGTTGTTATTAACTAACATAACCTGACCTAACCACCCCCACCCAAGTCAGTTTCAGCTGAATCCCAATAAATAACAGTGCAAGTGTCATTTCACATTTCCATTCAAATACAGTCAGTAATGAACTTGGATCAAGGATGAAACAGACCATTGGTAAGGCTGAAGATAGCATACCTGGACATTGGAACAACAGGGTTGTTGAATAATTGGGGTAAAGAGGATTCATTTTTGAGAACCACACATGGATGCCACTGATAACATTCCATGTGTTGTTCTAAGCAACATCTATGAGGGCATCGTTTTGCGGGTACCGGGTCAGCCGCCAGCCGTTCAATTCACGGTCGCGCACCCGCCAGCCGTCAAACGCTGGTCCCTCCAATTGCCAGCCAGGGCAGTGCTTGGTCTCTCCAATCCCCAGCCCACCAAACTGCAGTCCGGTCACCCGATTGTCAAGGAACCCCAACAATTGGGTGAATAGGATCCCATTGATTCTAAAATCCTGGTTGCAGTGTCTTTCCAGTCTTTGGGGAGCAGAATGGTTTCCTGCAACAGATATTTTTTTGCACAAAATTGCATCTTGTAAAAATTTTTGCAAAA